TATATATATATATATATATATATATATATATATATATATATATATATATATATAGTGTGTGTGGGTGTGTGTGTGTGTGTGTGTGTGTGGAGGGGGGGAGGGGGGCGGGGGTTGTCTGTGTTTTGTAACTGACCACAAATGCAGTCCTGCTATATTCATTTGCACAGCATGAGGCAGCGCATTTTATTATATGTCATTGCAATAAATTATCTTCTCAATTGATTGCAATAAAATATTAAATACAAAAATACCTTGACGCATACAGTCACTTTTTCAATGACATGGAAAAGGATCGAGCAAAAAAAAAGAGAAGGAAAGAAAAAAAAGAAAGGAAGAAGAAAATACCAGCATACACGTGTTTTTATTTCTTCGTCATATAAATTGAGGGAACTTCAACTCTGTGACAAGAACCAACGGATATGCTGCGATGTAGATTAGAAGTGAATAGGACAACTAGTGTTTTTTAGTGAGATCGAGAAAAAAAACTGAGTCTGGAAGTGGAATGAAGAGAGGAAAACGAGAAGTTCGTGTTTAAATAAATTGGCTTATTTTTTTTTTTTACATTTAGGGGTGAAAACAGACAAACAAACAGAAGTACATGAAATGCGATCGGCAATCATTCCTGTTTCTGTCGAAACAGGAATGATTGCCGAGGTGTTCCACTGTGCGTTCCCCAACCCCCCGCTCACCACTCTGTCATTCCCCGCCTTATCATTTTTGTAACGCCATCCAATATGGCGCCCATTTTAATACTGGCTTGAATTCACACTGACCCGAAAGGCAGTGTTTATAAAAGAAAATAATGCAATCAGCAGCTTTCATATGAGGCGTTATGTTAAGGAAATACATTTCTCGTCTCCAGAGTATTGCACTGCAGTAAGTTGAGTCATTGCAGCTGCGTTGCACATTGTACTGTACTGAGCAAGAAGTATTTAGATCATGTGGATGAAGCACTATTATGCAAAGCATTGCAGCATAATGCAGTCGTTTGGATATGGCTTCCTTTTTCATGGACCTCATGGAATAGAGGAACGCGCACGCGCGCTAACATGCACATGCACTGATTGCTGAAAAAAGAGAGACAATGGCAGCAATGCACTAGGTAAAAACTGATCAGTGATATTCGGAAATGAATGTGAGCGCATGCAAACAGAACATTTCAGCTCACGATCCACATTTCTGCACCACGGGTCCATGCGCCATAGCATACCGACCTGTGGGTGACTCAATGCCCGCCGAAGCATACCCAGAGGCGTTTGGTGAAGGGTAGGATGATGTCGGTGAGATGATGGATCCACCCCCGCTGGAGCTGATTCCAGGCTTGGGGCATTTCTTGGATGACTTCTTCTCTTTCATCCAGGGAAACTCGTGAGCCAGCGAACCAGCCGGGGTAGCCGGTGCAGGGGCCTGGCCAGGCGGGCATGGCTGCTGTACGGCGCGGTGATGGGTCTGGTGGTCATTTGTAGCAGAGCTTCTCCGGCTTTGCTGACTCCCAGATGCTGGTTTCGGCTGGGTGGCTGTGCAAGGGCTAAAGCTGGGGATGGTGTGCTCGAAGGGAGGCGGAATTACTGTCGACTCCTTGATTGATGAAGTTTGAAATGACTCCAGGACGGCGGGGAAGGACGTCAAGCACTCTGCAAGGGACGGCTGGCTGTTTATAAACCCGATCTCCCTCTCAAATTCAAAATTCATAGCTTCCTCAGACTAGTGCCCTCCCTAAACGACGAGAGCCCAGAATAATCCTTTTCCCGAAATAAAATAATAATAATAATAAAACCCTCATAGGCCTATACGCACGCGTACAAATGCACATCACAAAACATGGCTGATTAAGAAAATAAATAATACTTGATTTAAAAAAAAACGCAGCTCCATAGACTTCTGAACGTAGTGGCGTAAATGCGATGGCTATATCATAATTGTGTATATTGGTTATAATAGTAGCGTATGGGGACCTGGGTAGGCTAAACTGAACAACTATGGGACGAAATTGCAGGCAATTCCTGGTCATGTGACCCAAATCAGCCAATCGGCGGTTCGGGCCTGGCGGCTGTGATGTCTGTGTGAAGCATTATTATTATTATTTTTCTCTTAACGCTGAGGCAAAGCGAGACTATCTGCCATTGTTCTGTGCTAACGGGGGTAAAAAAGCAAAGAGGCCGCCTGCCATGTGCGCTGTGTGGGCGGCAGCTCGGCGGATCTCGGACGGTGGAGCTTTTAACAATAGAACTGTGCACATGCGAGCTCCTGGGTGATGTAATGGCAATTAACAGTAGGTTAACGTAGGGAGTCTATACCATTTACAATATGATTTCTCAGTGAAAAAAACAAAACAAAAACAAAACAACAACAACAAAACACCTGAGAAAACAACTGCACTCATTAGTTTTAGGAAGTGTGACAAAGGCTGAAAACGGACAGTTTAGGCAGCAGAAAACTGGACAGCGGTTTAGATGCTGCAGCAGCTCACGAGGAGAGATCATGAAGGATCTGCTCAGTGTTATGATGCTGGATCAGCTAAAGCTTCAGGGTAGACAATTAACGATTTTAAAAGACGCAGATTGAGGAACAAGTTCCTGTGTAAGGGTCCGATTTCTCCAATTTAACACAAATATCTGGGAGTCCATTATAAATAGACGGAGAGTGTGTGTGTGTGTGTGTGTGTGTGTGTGTGTGTGTGTGTGTGTGTGTGTGTGTGTGTGTGTGTGTGTGTGTGTGTGTGTGTGTGTGTAGTGAAGATTGATTGTGGGAAAACTGAAATGCAATCTAAATATTGTCTCAAACTAAAATAGCATCTTTTCACAGGCTCTTAAATCTCTCTTGCGCTTCAGCCTCGTTCCTTTCTCTCCCCGTGTTGGTGTGTTTCTGCTCAAAATGTTCACGCACGGAGAGAGAGTTCAGAGCGAGGTCGCTCCGGTAGCGGCTCTCTGTTCCTCCCTCTTATAAAACACAATAAGAGACCCTCAGCTATTAATATTATACTAACTGTAAGTGAGATCGCGCTGAGTTGCCCTCGGACTCGACGGGACGTACATGTAGATATTTATAAAGATTAACTGGAGAGCTGAGCAGAGGATATTTCGGGGAGGGTCAGAAGAGCCCCGGGTGGAGAAAAAAAGTGGTGATCAATCTTTCTCTCCTTGAGAGAGGCTGACAGCAGTCTCTCTCCTCTTAAATGAGGAGGAAACTTCCAGCCCCGCTGTCTCTGCCTCTGCGCTTCAGGGCCACAGTGTGATTTGGTTTCATGTATTTATTGTTACTAATATTATTTCATCAGCAGCCCGGACAAACGGGTTGCATAGAGACCGTTCAGACAAATCACGATTAAACCGGTTATCTTTCCTTACTTTTTGTCATGTCTTCTCTTTGCTCCCCTCATCCCCCAAAATAGCGAAGATACAGCAATGTGTGTGGGAGTGAGGCGCTTTGAGTGGAGCAGAAAGGACAGGCAGTGTGTGGGCAGAACAGGCGGGCAGCAGGGACACACACCGAGCAGAAGCTGCAGCATCACCGCTACGCGCACTTCGTCTTTTAACAACAATTAAAAATATCTAAAGCTCTTTTATTTAGGAGACCACTGGAGCTTGTTAATAGAGCTGCAGAGTGAATTTCTGTCCCTAATGACAAAGATGGAAAGGGAGCATGACACTACTGAGGAAAGGCATTTGTAAACTTAGTATTTATTTATTTTTAAACAATAGATTTTTTTTCCCAGAATGATTACAAACATTTTTACTTTAAGTCTTTTAGAACTACATATAATAATAATAATAATAATAATAATAATAATAATAATAATAATAATAATAATAATAATAATAATAATAATAATAATAATAATAATAATAATAATAATAATAATAAGTCGATATTTGTTTAAATAATTTAATGGCTCCAAGCATTAGGGTGGGAATGCTGTTTTCGAATAACCATTCGAACTATACCAGAAACAAACCTTACATAATCCCGTGACAGCAGGTTTTATTGTTGTTTTGTTTCCTCCTTTAAATCGATAATGAAATCAAACTGGTGATCACACTTTAGTGTTTTGACAAATTGCCCGGTTCAGCATGCTGAAGCTGAGTTTAGAAAATTGCATTTTTAATGTGTGAGTAGCAGACCGGACTCCTTCCTTGTTCGCCGCTTAAAGCGCCTTGCAGCTCCAGCCCTGCTGTTCCCAGCAGTGTGTGCTGAGGAGACTCAGCTCTCCATCTGGTTTTACGAGGCAATAAATTAGAGCCAATCTCTGCTTATTGGTGTTTTTATTGTCTGTTAGTCCAGAGGAGATGTAAAGGGAAGCACAGTCATTATTTATGGGATTTTGATTTACGTCCTAAGTTTTTATGCGGGTCTCAGGCTTCTGAACACGTGACAAAGAAAAAAAAAACATGGCCAAAGAGGTTGGAGTGAGAAATCACGTGGCCTGAACGAGGCGTGGGCCTCAAGGCTTTTCTTGTGTGGGTGAGAGAGAAAGAAGAGGGATATAAACAAATCACATGGCCCCAAGTTAGCTGTAGGATGCCTGTCTGAGTTAGCCTGCAAGACTCTGCACTCATTTCCTATAGAATAAGAGAAACGCCACAAATAACAGAAGTCCCACTAAACTGCTGTTTTGCATTGATAAGTGCTGAGCTTACCAAAACTATATCAAGGTTTACTTAATGTCTTCTTAGTCTTTAAAGATGTAAATCTGAACTTTTCATTTTACTAACTCCTTTGTCCTGCTCCACAGAGCTCTAAAATATATGTTAAAAATCTTTGGCATAAGGTTTTACTCGTTTCACGCATATTCTCACTTTGAGGATATATGACAGGTACATTTGCAGCTCAGTAAAAAGTTCTTGCATGTTGCCTTAGCAGTTGGGGATTGGCATTTAATATAATAAAGCGTCGACCATCAATCACAACAGAAGTGGTGTACTGATTTGTTAGTGATTATACATCAGCTTCATGAATCAATAGTTTCTTTTTTTACCTAGCTTAAAAAATAATGAACGCTCTGTGTAACATAAAATTTTATTAAAGAATTGTTTGACAGACAACTTTATCAACAGTGAAAAAAAATAGAAACTACAAAGGACAAAAAAATGTTTCCTCCAAAAGGAATTTTTTTGTCTTTCCTGCTAATAGGTTGTTTCTATTTTCAGACTATGGGTGGATGTCCAAACCCAACACTCGTCTTTCCCTGTACAAGCCAAGACATTTATGTACAAGGATAATAACATAAAAAGGGTAATAATAATAATAATAATAATAATTATAATTAAAAAAACTATCTATTTTTTTCTAAAATACAAGAACTGAAATTGTAACTTCAGTACATGGACAAGAGGAAACACAATGTTGCTTTTATTACAGGTAAATACTAAAAAAGTACAGGATTTTCTTCCTCAATATAAATACACAAAGGATAAATAATATTATTACAAAACGAAACTCTTTTTAAACTGGCTATAACAAATAAATATTTATATGTGAATGTTCAATTGAACACACGTTAGCGACAGACGCTTTGATTGGACGGTCTTCCGTCTTCAAAATAAGATTTTATCTTTTTTTTTTTAACCATTAACCATCAAAATGTAAACTCTAAGTGCAACAATGATGCCCAGCTGTAAAAACAGCATTTGAGTAAATCTTGAGCTTTTAAAAACAACTTGAGGGATTTATTTCCTAATTATCAGTGAGTGTGGACGGCCCATCCACTCCACAGTGCCCAGTCACTGGAGACACCGAGTTCAACAGTTGGAAGTGTCTGACATGTATTTTCTAAAATCTACTCACTGACAGAGGAAAAAATAAATCCAGTTGTTTTAAAAATAAGTTTTACACATATGCTCAGAAATGTGGGACATGCATTTTTTGTTCAAATATATACCCTGTTTCCATGTTAAAAGTCAAGACATGTGGGAACGAAATAAAACAAGAGGAAATGGGGTTTCACACATTGGTGTGTAATGGGATGGGAGTTTGTGGGTGAGGTGGGTATTGTCAATGACTTTTTTAGACATAAATAAATAGTTCTCTCCACTCTTCTTTTTTTACCCTGTCTCAATGATGTGCTAAATAAGGACACTAAAATTGTAGATTCTGTGCCCTCTTATATTTGTCTAGAGATGTCAGCAGCTGGATAGCTGCTTCTGGACATGTGTCAGTGAGAGGAAGTTAGCTTAGTATTGCTGTGTGTGTATGCCGACGTAACTGTCAAAAGGTAGTTTAGAATAAGAGTCTGGCTGTTGGAGCTAGTTCAACTTTAAGTTCTCATCTTAAACCCTGTTACGGTGATGGGACGGATGAATATGTACCTGTGCCTATGTGGTTGTGTGTGCTGGGAAGGTGGGGTGGAAAGCAGGTGAGATTGGGTTAGTAACGATTGGGTCTAGACAGACAGAGATGGGTACTGCAGGGGGAAAAGACAGTGACTGGAAAGCTGTCCAGTGGTTGTGATGTGCTTCATAAAACACGAGGCTCAAAGGAAGCTCTGTGCTGCCAGCTTGAGCCATATATTTTTCTCTGTCTCAAGTTCTAACTGATGGAGAGACAGATCAGTCCACATAGCTCAGCTCTGCTGACAACAACACGTGTTGCCTGCAGGGGACAGAAGTCAGCATAATAAATCTAACCACCTCATTAACAACCCATTAAAATCGCAACCATTTCATCTACCAGACAGGAGAGCTGTGTGTATATATGTTTCTTAGGGGGATATTTTGCCATTAAAGGAACATTTGAAACCATGCTGTACCTCTTAAAGGGTCATTATATTTCTCTTTTAAACTCCATGCTCACTATACTATTGTTGCAATTTGCTACAAATGTCTACTAGTGCCTATCAGAAGTCTATGAACATGGATGTTTATTTATACACTCAACATAACTGACTGAAATATTGAAATATTTCTTGCTATGGTAGATGCTCCTTCTTAAGAGGTAGAATAATAAATTGAAAAATAAAATTCAATACTGAATATAAAGCCAGATGACATAATAAAAACTATAGGGTTTTGTTTCCCAATTTACTGTAATAAATTACAAGGTTCCAATTGTCACAGTGATATTCAGCCAAAGCTTAGTTAAATCTGATTTTTTTTTGTTGTACTTTCAGCTTTCTGTTTTTAAAATAAAACAAACAGTTTTTTCAAAAACAATAAGGAATGTTTTTCCTTAATATAACAGATGTGATGCTGTTGTAATGAAGGTAGTGGTATTTAACACTGTTTCTTGCATATTATGGCAGAGAGAATTTCACAAACCACTGGAAGGCACCTTTCTGTCCTGCTTCGCCCCTCCCATTGTCCCACTGCAGCAGTGTAGTCCCCACATTTTGGTTTGTCTCTTTGTGAGTCATGTCATGTTACATTTTCTGTTATTTTTTAATTCCTGCATTGTCATTTTGTTCCAAACTTGCTACAGATGGGTGAGCTTGGGTGCTTCTTGGATTCTACCCTGAGTTGAGGTGTGGTGTGCTGACAGCTCGGTGTAAGTTGGGTGTGTGGGTGGGTCACAGGGACCCTGAGGGCCCCCTCCACCCACATGGTGCTGGTTGGTAGTTGACATGGGCCCTGCGCCATTGTAGTCTATGGTTTGGTGGTGGGGCGGCGTAGGGCCCAGGTGGTTTAGGCCGTACATGGAGGGCCCGGAGCCAGCCATGGGCTCCACATAGCTGCCACCCCCAACGTAGACTGGACTGGCCTGCATGTTTGTTGGCGTCCCATAGCCAGCATTGTTGGCCTGTACTAGGCTGTGGTGGGGATCACCATAGTCTGGATCTGGGGCACCGTATTTCTGAGGAGGGCAGCCCTTCATAGGAACATTGGAATAGGCAGTGGACATAGAATAAGACACTCCCTGGTGGAGCTTTCCAAAGGATGGTGGGGAGGGGGTCTCATAAGCAGGACCCCCTCCTCCCCCTCCCATTGGATGCATTGAGTTCAGGAAGCTGGCAGAGGACTGCATGGTGAGAGGAGGGGAACCTGCCGGAGATGGTCCTCCAGAGCTGGAGCTCAAGCCCTTGGACTTCTGGTCCTTCTTGTACTTCATGCGTCGATTCTGGAACCAGATCTTAATCTGGCGTTCGGACAAATTGAGCAGGTTCGCCATTTCCACACGCCTGGGTCGGCACAGGTACCTGTTGAAGTGGAACTCCTTCTCCAGCTCTACCAGCTGAGCGCTGGTGTACGCTGTACGAGCGCGCTTGGATGATGCAGATGAACCTCCAGAAGGACTCTTCTCCCCACTGCTGCCGCTCTCAGTGCTCCCCGATGCTACGGAGAGAAAAACATATGAAACTCACTGCGCTGGTCTGAGAAGTGTAAAATCACATTAAAAACAGTTCTTTAACATATTGAAAATAAAGTAGATATATGTATTTTAACAGGAAAGGGGGGTGGGGGGCGACACGAAAAAGGAAGCAAGTTCAATGGATTATAAAATTTAAAAGTCAAAAAATATTAAGAGTGTGTAAATGTAAAGATAATAGAATAAATCCAGGCTGCATGCCAGAGGAAATTGGAAGCATCCAGAGTCTTAATAAAGCAGAGGGGGGCCTGGGCAGGCGGCCTGAATTACCCCTTCATATTAGTTGTCAGCACTTCATAACAGTGGCAGTTATTAAAAGATGAAGGTGCCGGTGCTGGCCGAGAACACCTAAATTGCATCTTGGCTAAAGAAACAAACCCCCTCAGCAATAGCAGCTGCAGCAAAGGGAACTGGTACACTGAGGTGGACTCGACAAAAAAAAAAAAAAAAATCTAAACTCTGTTTCAGGTGTTTCATGTAACTAAAACTATTGTTTGTTGTTAGTTTCTGTGTTCCATGTTGTAAAAATGGTATTCTGTTTGAACTGGAAGAAAATCATTCTGATGTTATCAATCTAAAGCCCAGTGATTTAGTGAGGATGTGTCATTCACCAGTCCTGTAAACAAAGTTTTACTAAAAAATAAAGTTAACTTACTTAAAAGACATTTATTAAGAACCTTTCTGCACAATTACTTTGCAATCTAAAATTACAAAATATGTGTAATTGAGTTCCACAATCAAGCTCTGTTGAGTAAATATAAAAAGTACAATGTGGCATTTAATATTACTGTTAAATTTAACTGGACTGTTTTAGCTATTCTTACTGGTGTCATTTTCAACAACTTCCTCCTTGAAAATGAGGATTTGGAATAATAATATTCCTGGAACATAAAGCAAAAGGTAAGAAAGTAATCCAAGGAGAAAGAAGCATGTCCTTGAAGCGAGTTCATATTTTTATGAATATTTCAGTATTTTGGCTACTTTTATTTTCTAAACTCATCTTTTAGTTTCTTACTGATTTTACCATTCAGGTGGATGTTTTATACTCTGACTATAAACCTACAGCGAATAAAAATGTTAGACATATAGAAATAATATAACAGACACATCTGCTATGCAAAGATATGCATTGGTATTAATCTACCAAATCACCAAATGATCAAGGTTACAAGATGATCAACGGGAATTAAATCACTGAGATCTCAGTTCATGGTTTGAACACTGTTGGTTCTTTACTTCCTAGAAAACATTTTCCTGCCTGTTGACTCTGAATTGACTGCATTGTTTATTAAAACCAATGGACAGAATAGACTATCTCTGCAGTTGTGATGCAACAGTATATTCAACATGAGTCATTTTTTAAGGGGAATAAAAACATTTTGAATGTGTCATTTAGTTTTCTCGCTGATCAATAACAATTTAAGTTTTAAACATTTTCAGACATGTTTGCCAAAGTCACTTCATATTGTTCCCCTTTGATAAGACTTTATATTTCAAATTCCAGATTCTGTAAAACAAAAAAAATGAGTCTTACATTGCCTTCTCTATTATATTTTTATTCAGTGGCCATTGTTAGAGGTGAAAAACAAAGACAGGAAAACAAGAACAAACTTATCAACAAAACTTTTTTTTAAAAATTGTTCTCTCCAAATAATCCCCAAATAGATGTCTTTTATTAGGTAATCTATTCTGCTGCTGACCT